CTGAAGTTACTGTAACAGCTTTGAACATGGAAGTGAAGTGGGCTAGCAGTCCAGGCTGTGGTGCTGAACTGTATGTACTGGATGGCTCAGTGATTCCAGCCATGCAAAAGCTTGGAGAACATGACCTCTCGATACCTGTGTCTTCTGATGATGTTCCCGGGAGGGGTGACACCCTATGGTTGTCTCAGTTGTTCCTGCCTATTTGGGTCCTGACTCTGTATCTCTGGTATTTTGTCAGTGGTGTGCAACACTTTGGAACTGCACACATCCATTTGGAGAGAGTCTGTGTGATTGTGTAGGGCAGAAATCAGAGAGTCATCTGAGATGTGGTGTTTCGCCTGGAAGGCTCCAGATGTTCTCCCCAGGAGCAAAGGGCAGGCAGGGTATCTTCCCCTCACACATGGCCTTCGTTAAAACCTCAGGTGACTTGGGGCATGGTCTTGTATAATCTACAACACTTGCAGATCACCTTTGTGGCTTTTCAAACTATTCAAATCTTGTTTGATTATTTAAATTCTAGGCATTGGTGAAAATGGCTCCCATTTAAAGTCAAGAATCCCCTTCCCACTCTCCCTTTTTGCGACTTTCTCTTATGTAATCCAACCTGGTCTAAAACTTGCTGAGTATTGGAGGATGACCTCGGACTTGTGGTCCTCCTGCCTCTGCCTCCTGAGTGCTGGGATTATGGGTGTGAGTCACTGTGCCCAAGTTTATGAAGTGCTGATAATCAAACCAAGACCTATGTCATGATGCCATACACTCTATCAACTAACCTCAAACCTGGCACATACCCCTTTCTTCGGTAACCTTGTTGATATGGTGGCTGCTGGAGGCTGAAGATGCTGTCTGGACATGGCTGCTGATCTTTGATGTCTTTGTCACCCCCTCTGCCCTCATACCTTTTGTCGATATTTTTCATACACATACACATATGTGCGCGTGCGCATACACACATACACGCAATGTGTATGTTCTAACAAAGGAAAATTACTTGTATTTGTGTAATATGATGAATATGATGTATTTCAATAAACATATACACTGTTTCATGTTTACATCTTGGTTTTCTTTATGGTAAGTCTTCCTTTTTTAAGGTCTCTCTTCCTGCCTCCTTATTTCATCACTTTCTTCTTGTTTCATGAGTTTTTCCTATTTCAAAACGTGATCTGTTGACACCAACTTGCCCACATCCTTCCTTTCCTTTCTTCTTTTGACTGTTGATGTTAGTGAAATTTGTGACAACTCTCAGTGCAGGTGCTATGTAGTGTGTGCTTGTGTGTGAGCGTGTGTGTGTGTGTGTGTGTGTGTGTGTGAATGTGTGTGCACATGCATGATTTCATAAGCAATCATGCTTTGACACATTGAAAATGAAACAAAACAGAATGTGATATGATATGGAGAGACAATGACCCTCCGAGGGTTAACTAGTTTTTAGAAACAGCAGAGTTATCGTCACATCAAAAATATCTGTGAGAAGCAAACCAGCAGAGCATTTCCTCTGTCTAATCTATGCATTCAGGGAGGGGGAACTTCTTCACCTTAATCATCACAGGTCAGGAAGGTCCCGGGTCCCAGGGACCACTCTATAGCTTGAAGCTCACCAAGCTCAGTCTAACTCGTCAATTCCTCTCTGCTCACACAGCGGTGTTGCTTTCCTGTGTCCTTGTGTGGCAAAGCACGCCCTTGTTGTTTTAGGACCTCAGAGCACAATAAGCAGAAAAGAGGAGGAGCAGGGAGGCTGGGTACCACTCCAAGGACTAATCTATGTTTCATCTTAATGAGGAAGTGATGAGCTCCTAAGTATAAAGTGATGTCAGACCTGGTATCATGTACCTAAAAGTTCACACGGGACACTGAGGGACTAAGCTGCCCTCAGAGAAACATTTACATAACAACACCTTCCTTCTTTCATAGCCTGAACAATTCTGGCTAGGTGTAGGAGGGCTTTGAAGTGGGACCCAGGGGCTCTTCTCCAGAGTTCACTCTCTGTGGCCGATGACTTTTTGAGACACCAGATATCAAAATGTGGCCAAGAAAAAAAGAAGCAAGGAGTTCCCAGAGTCTGTAGCTACAGGACTCTGTCCAGCTTTGCTATGCAAAGCAACCATCTCGAAGCCAGGAGCTGGGCTGGGTTATTAACTTTCATCTGAACCTGTCCTTATCTGAACCTGTCACTGACCCCAGTTCACTGGCCACACCTGACATGCTAGAAGCTCCATCTTTCTGTTGCCTTTGTTCTCACTGGCCCTCAGCATTTCCTATGGGCCACAGGTGCTGAACCCAAGAGGGGGCTTTTGTGTCTTTGCTGCTCATTCTGACTGGGCTGTATCCCATCAGCCTGTGCTCTCCACTACCTTCTCTCCTCATTCCCTGGGGATACATTGTCTATTAGGAACAGGTGAAGCCTTGGGTGAGTGTGGTTCCAGCATCCAGCCACACACACCAGTAACTGGCCTGTTGGGTAGGAATGAGTGTATTCTAAAGAGACTTCCCTTCCACTAAGGGGCCCCAAGTAAAGGACATTCTCTCAGGAACCAGATGCTAAGAGAAGGAAAAGACCTCAGCCAGAGGTGAATCTCATCTCCTAGAAAGAGATTAAGTTTTGACAACTTACTAAACTGCCTTACAGGAGAGACTGGATCCTAGACAGTGATGGGTGGGACCACACGATGGCCAGGACTGCTTATCTAGGCATATAACTGGCACTCTACTTAAGTGGGAACCTCATGCAAGGACCCTAAAGATGAACTTGGCAGGTAGGTTATCAAACCTCTTTGTCCCTCTTTCCAGCGTGACCACACAGAATAAAATCCTTCTATCTGTTCTGTATTATCATTTGTTTAGTTGGCTTTATTAATTGGTGTCAGACCTGGTTGATTAAAGCTGGCAAGCCCAAACTCTGATCTTTAATGACTCTGGTTATGCTTTGAAGTCTGTGATTCATACTCTGCCTCCCAGGGGCTATGGTATCCTGAAAGTCAGACATCTTCTAAGATCAGGCACAGCCCTCTTCTATTCCTGCTCAGGCCATTACAAACTCTAGGCACATGTATCATATTTCTCTGACCATAGGCAACCCATAGAGAGGAGAAAGATGCCTTCCCAGGATGGGACTCCTTAGGAATCCCATTGGATAAAAGGTTTCCTGCAACTCAGGGCTGTCAGGATGACACCACAGCATGGAGAATGAGAAAGGCTGTCATCTTTGGTCACCTGGGTCTCTACAGATGCCCTGTTGGCTGATGTCAGTTTGCAGAATGATGTTTCTGGTCCCAAGAATGAGCACGGGATGGAGAGCCCTTGAAGTGACTGTGGAACTATTCTGAAGCCAAATGTGCAGGGGACATAAATCAGACAGTGAACCTCCAGTAAGCATTGTGCCCAATTGTCTTTGACCACAGGTAGGTGTCCACAGGTTAGCACATATCGGATCAGCTGTCACCATGGAGATTTCACTGAGGCCTTGCCCTAGGAGCAGGAAATTGGCACAGAATTGGGTGGTTCCTGGCCAGTGGGATGCTATGCTTTGTTCTCACTGTCACTTCTGACTGGCCTGCTGGGTAGAATCCAGGTTACTGACAGTAGACACCCCAGCTGAGGTTAATCAAGGCTTCATTCCAGGCTCTGCTGTAAGTCTGGCGCCTCTTGGCCTCACATCTTCTTTGCAAGAACATCCCTTATCTCCAGCTCCCTCAGCTGGTCAGCTGGTCCAGGACTAGAGGATTTGATAATCTGAGCAGGTAAGGGAATAATGAAAGGTACATACAGTCTTGGATATTGACAGAGAATCCTGGAGAGTATATGAAGGCAAGTGGCTTGGGACTGGGTTGTGTGGGAACTCGGGATTCTTGACAAAGTAGGGAGTTGGGATTCTTTCCTAGGCTGGCAATATTCAAAGGAACCCTGGAGACATAACTCCAGAAAAACCATCAGGATCTGTACATTAAGCCCTGGCCATCATCTTATAGGCCCCCAACATAATTTCTTTTTAACTAGCACTATTTGGAATGGAGGATGGATTCCTCATCTGGGATCCATGGACTTCAGCAGGCAATTGTTGGGGCGTGACAAATTTCCCAAGAACATGTTTCTGTGTTCTCTAAAGTTCTTGACAATTACAGTGTAGACAATAGGAACTTTTCCCATGCCCAACATCTCAGGTCTTGGTAGAGATGGCAATTGAGGCTCTGCTGACCTCAGGACTTGTCAAGGTGTCGCTCCTCCTATGCCTCTGTACATCAATATCTGAGGCATCGGGCGGGCCTGCTGCTCTTTTCCTACTGTCCCCACCTTCTTCAATGGTGAGCATATTGGGTTCCCAGGGTTCCCAGGAAAAAGTTTCTTCCTGCCCTCAATTCCATGGCACAAGCTTGGATTTTGAGAGAATGAGATCAAGATCTGGATGATTGCAGGAAGGTAGAGGAAGAGGGAGTCCCTCTAGCTTGTCTTTTTTCTCCATTGTGAAAAATGTAGCACCTGTGCCCTAACAAAAGAGTTTGGCATAAAAATAAGTAGAAAGAGAAAGAAAATATAGGAAAACACACTCTGTCCCTCACCATCAGAGGTGAACATGTATCCTGAGGTTTGACTCCCAGGGAGGAAGGAAGGGTGGCCCCTGACAGAGGCAATGCTAGGATTTTCCTTGAGGAAATGTGGAGGCTGCTAGGCACACAAGGTACGCCGAACTCTGTTTCATAACTTTTGAACACAGAAGACTCCTGCATAGCTCACTGAGGCTCAGAGGCCTTGTGATCCTCTCTCCTTCCTTCCTCCCTCTACCAACCAGAGTTACAGAAGGAGCTGTTCTCATGGCGTCTATCTCTAGCAGATCAGTTTGCTTAGTGCATTTGGCTTCATGCTGAGATTCTATTAATTTATAATGGTAAATTCTGAGAGAATGATCACTAGGTTGCAAAAGTCAGTGACAGTGAGGATAGAGCGAGCCTGTCCTCAGCGCTCACTGTGCATGCTCCCTTCCTCCTATCTGGAGGCTCAGGAAATTGTGACTACTTGGTGAGCATTTCCAGTGTATGCTTGCTACACCTGGTGGTAGAGACTGGCTCTTTGTGAAATGGTGGCTTTGGAAATGGTGAACACTTGTCTTTAGCTAAAGGGCTGATGAGTACCATGGCCCAGAACTTTCTAGCACAAAGAGAGCCTCCACCTGCTCCCCAGCGGTGCCATTTCTTGACCACTCAGCCATTTCAGCTGAGATCTAGTGCCTTCCAGATGCATGCAAGAAGAATCCTTCCCAAGCCAAAGTCTTTCCCAGGGAAGGATGAATGACTCTTCCCTTTCAGCTTCAATGGCAGGTACAGCATCTTTTCTGGTTTTGCCTCCTTCCAAATGGCTGCATCTAGCGTAAGTCCAGTGTTTGATATAATTTGGCTTGCAGAATGAATTAGTGAATAGATGGAAACATGAACAGATAATGTTGCCTGACATTTGGGTTGTTGGATTACAAGGGCTGAGCCCCTAAGCTCTCATTCCTTTGTCCTCTCTTGTTCTTTGTGCAGTGTTCATGGGAGTCACTATGTCCTGGTCCTCAGTTCTGAAGGGTGTCCTTGCTGTCTGCATCTTCACTCACTTATTTGTCAGCTCTGTGGGTAAGAGTAACAAGGTGCTTTTTGTTTCAAGGGTAGGAAGTGGGAGTTGGGCAGTGAGGTACCTTAGGGGGACTCCATGGATCACTTAAACCTTCAGTAGCCCCTTCAAGATTCATGACTCCTTGACCCCTGGGAAAGTTTGTCAGCAGCTGAAAACTCCTGGGATGGTTTTCTGAACATGTTTATTTCCTCTTTGCAGAGAGTTATAGTTGTGACAACAAAGAATGTTATAATGGGAGATGCAAACCTAATCCAAGGACTTGTGAATCCTCTAAAGGCTGCTTCCACCTAGAGCAGGAATTTAAAACACCAAGTAAGCCAACTTGCATTTTTACAGCTGTCTAGTTTATCCTTGCCTCCTTCAAGGATGGGCCTGGGAGTGTGGGCTTCTGGGAAGTGGTGGGGATGGGCAATGATACTGGATGTAGTTCCTAGGGACAGAGCTGAGAGACGCTGGTCATGTTTCTCATATCAACCTCATAGAACTACTGGAGAGTGAACTCACATTTCTTTTTGCCATGTTAGGGATCAAATTCATGACACCATGCACACTAAGCAAATACTCTCACTGGACCCTGGTCCCATCACAACAAATTATTCCCCTGTTGATTCATTCTCAGAAATAATAACAGAGAGACTTTGGGAGGTAAGGAAAAATACAGACAGAGAGAATGAAGGAACAGATTCCTTATTAATAGATGCTTCACTCTCTCTGTATCTTAGAAGAGAACATTTCTGGGGGGTTTGCTTCTCAACAGCTCCATCCACAAATGTAAGGGTCCAGCAGAAAGGCTGTTCTAAAGATGGATGTACTGAACTAGCATTCTCAGCAACACTGGGACGCAATCGGACATTTAGATATGACCACCAATGCTGCTACACTGATCAGTGCAACAGGGAGCCCAAGCCAGGTGAGTAGCTGCCTATTTCTACTCTTCTCCACATCTCCTTTGTCTTTCTGTGGGCTCATCTCTCTGCTGGGACACAGTACAGACACTTGCCTTCTTTTTGTGTATAGCGCTCCTTGAAAATGGTTTGACATACATATAGGCTCTTCTCATGTGTGATGGACTGAGCGACAGTTGGGTGACAGGGATCAGTCTTGGGGATTTTTCCTCTAAGTGTGAGTCTTTTGGTTTACCTGTTTAACTCAGCCTTTCTGGCTGACAGGCTTTTCTCACCTATTTAATTCCTCAAGTTCATTTTTGTTTTTTTGAGAAGTAGTCTTGCTGTATTTATGAAGTTTGTTTTGAACTTCTAGGTTCAAGCAATCTTCCTGCTTCAGCCTTCCAAGTTGGAATAGCTGGGAGTATGGGGTGTGCATGACCACATCTGGTTCATTTCTCACCCGATGGACAGCATCTTTCTAGAAAACAGATTATCTCTTCTCTCGTTATCTAGTCGTTCCTTTCTTCTTCCCTCCTTCCCTCCTTCCCTCCCTCCTTCCCTCCCTCCCTCCCTCCCTCCCTCCCTCCCTCCCTCCCTCCCTCCCTCACTCCATTCCTTCCTGGTTTTGTCTTTTGAGACAGGGTTTCTCTGTGTAGCCCCTGCTGTCTACCTGGGACTTTTTCTCCAGGACTGAGAGAGTAACTGCGGAAGGCGAGGACAGCAGTGGATTTCTGTGAGATCCTTCACTGCACTCATACACAACTGACTCACACAACTGACTCTCTCCTGTGCCTCCATCCAGCTTATCCTAGCTGTAATGCTCTTGGTGGAATCGTGCAGAAAACCAGTGTCAGATGGGTGTGGGTAGATGCAGTCTCAGCTATTTCTTCTGCCTGTTCCCCAATATGAAAACTTTTCTCTCTCCATTCAGTGTTCCCACCATCTGCCCAACAGAACGGAGTTGAATGTCCTGCCTGCTACAGCAATGATGACACTTGTAACACAGTTTCCCTGAAGTGCACAGGGGTAGAGACGAAGTGTGTTGAGGTTATTGGCACAGGTATGAGTATTCCTTCAAGCATTTTGTTCAGAGCACAACAAATCATTTATCACCATGCGGCGATTTATGGCAAGTGTAGCAACAGAACACAGTAACATTTACTACATCGCAGCATGTGTAGAACTGTGATCTGAGGATGGCCTGGGGCATGGTCCTGATTCAGGGTGTGTCATGGGGCTGTGTTCATTGGTCAGCTGCTGTTTCCCAGCTCATTTGTGGTTTCTGATGAGTTTCAATTCCTTTTCTTCTGCTCTCTTCATAGTCTACCATGGTGTTCTCATGACTAACTAGCCTTCCTCAGAGCAAACCATAGTGACATAGCCATGGATTTAACACTCCAGTCTCAGAAGTGACACATCATTTCTTCCTGTAGACTGTTGGCAGTTTAGAGCAAGCCTGACGGCGCATGGCTGACAGGAGATGGAAGAGACTGTGTGGGGCATCTTTGAAACCTGTCTCCACATGGAGAAAGTGGTCTTATGGGGCCATGTGCTTCTAAGGCTTGGGAGGAGCCATTTGTTGGGAGACAAGAGTTAAGGATGGGGAGAGTGGAGAGAAGAGGATGAAGGAATGTAACCACTGCTGCCCTTGTGGCAACCAGGGGCTGTGATTATGTGATTAAGCACTCAAGTTTTACCTGGAGCCACTCTAAATTTAGTAAGAGATCATTTTTTTTTGTTAAGAGTAAATTGTATACTTGTTATGAAGGACACATATACCATTGAGACAGGAACTGGGAACACAACTGTAAGAGTTTTCTTTCTGGAATACACTGATAGAGGGAGGAAGTGGCAGTTCTTTACTGAACAATACATGGAAAGTTTCACGGAGCAAGTGGTGTTTTAGGACCCAAGTAAGTAGTGGACAGAGGCATTGATAGGTCTAAGGGCAAGCCACGATTTTACTTGGAAAGAATTTTGACATTTTGACAGCGATTCTGGAGTGAGCAAGGGAAGGGCCCTTTGTGTAGATGAGTTGAGACAAATGAAGAAAATTGGGTGTCACAGAATGCAAAGGGGGGTTTAAAGCCACCCACAATGGGGCAGTTTGCCTTGGGAATCATGGATACCCAGTACATTCTATAGCTACTCTCAGAGGGAACTCAGAGCCCTCAGGAGAAGGAATATCAGTTTGTGGGGAATCCACAATGTCTTCCCCCAGGTAGAGAAGGAGGGAAACGATAGGGGAGGGAAGACAGGTACAGTAGAAGGGCGTTAGCCAACAGTTAAGACCCTGCATCTGGCTTTCCTCCTCACCTGCATCAAGCCCATCTCTCCTAGTGAGTGGGCACTCAGAGGCCTCCATGTTAGTCTTGTGCCTAAGATTTGAGGGTCGTTCTATGTAGAGGAGACAATGGGACCAGAGGTCAAGAAGGCCTAAAGGACAAGAAGGCCCAGACTCCACACAGATGGAGCTGTTCTCATGCAGAGGTGGAAGTGTGGATTCTGGACCATTCTGAGCACAGTGCCTGTTCAAAGGGTGTGGGTGAGGAGGGAGGATGAAATGAGAGAGAAGAGTAATTCCTGGGTCTTTTCATTAACAGATGTGATTGGGACCCTTTCTCACTTTGTGATACGTGGAATGGGTTGCGCCACTGAAACTGCCTGCAACTTGAAGAATATGACCATCATAGAAAATGTAAAAATCCATACCTACTGCTTCAGTGGGAGCCCTTCACTCAGGCCCATCTCATTTGTTCTGGCTGGTCTCTTCCTGATGAAAGCCTTGCTTTGATCCTTTCGGGACTGTCACTCCCGTGATCCTTCTCATCTAAACACATCAGCAACCTTTCATGACTCCTTTACTATCCAGGGAAGAAATAAAAACCACTGATTGTACTTTAGACAGAAAACGCTTAATTTCTTTTTAGTACATGGCACAGGGTTCACTGATCTGTGAACTCTTTCATGTCCCTACCAAACCTTGAGCCCCACCCCCAATATTATCAATTTACATTCCTAATTTGTAACTGTCCATTGCTAATGAAAATATTTATTTTTATTTTTGGGAGACAGGGTCTCACTACGTAGCTCTGGCTAGCCTGTAATTCACTGTGTAGACAAAACTGGCCTTGAACTCAAAGATTTGCCTACCTCTGCTAGGTGCTAGGATTAAAGGTGTGTACCTGGCCCAGAAAAAAAAAAAATTGAACGAGCACTTCAGAGCTCAGGAGAATCACTTCCAAAGTTTATTGAAGTCTCTGGATATGGTGGTGAGTGTTTGCAGTTCTACCACTTAGGAGGCCAGAGGCAAGAAGGTTATTGTTAAGCCCTTATGGTCGACACTTAACAACATGGGCTATATATGCTGAGCTTCAGGGCAACCAAAGCTACAGACCTGCCAAGATGCTGCCTCAAACTGTAAAACTGAACACAATGAAAGAGAGGAAAACAATAGTTTTGGAAAGATAGCTCAGTTGGCAAAGTGCTTGTTTTCTAAGTACAAGGATCCGAGTTTGATTCCTAGGATACAAGTTAAAATGATCCAGCATGGAAGTATGTGCTTCGATTCTAGAACTGAGAAAACCTGACACAAGCAGATCCGCAGACTAACGTGATGGGTGTGTTCCAGGCCAGGGAGAGCCGCTGTCTCAGTCACAACGCCAGACATGGGAGACAACACATGAAGCACAGGAGCTGAGGTTCCACACTCATGCACACACTTACCGACACCACACACACTAAAATAAAAAACCAGGAGGCGCGCACAACTGGGCCTCCCTCCCCTCTGAGCCACATGTGTGCAATCCTTGCCATGCACTCTGTATAGCTCTGTGTCTTAGGAGAGATGGGCACCGGGATACTGGTAGAGGCTGTAAAGGCTGTTATAAATGCTAAGCTTAAAGGGTGATGGTGCTTGAATTGAGGCCCAAGGATGCCATCCTTTCTCACGGCAGGGTCTGGAATGTTGGCGGCCACCATCACACGTCCTGTGATGCCTGTGGAGAGGTTTAGGCTGAGGAGAGAAGCCTTCCTACAATCCAAGCTTGTACCACATCCATGTGATGCGGATGCCACAACACACTGATTCTGCTTAAAGAGACCCTTTGGTTTCTTTAGATTCGGTTTCTTACAGGGCCCAGTTCATCTCTGAAAATCATGGTAAAGAGAAGGATGCCCTATGGCTATTTCTTATATGGGGGCTGACTCTACCCCTGCCAGGTCTTATCCTGGATCTCTGGACACCTGGCTGCCTCTTTCTTCTTGGCATAAGCTCAACCATCCTCCAGTGTCTCTCAGCCTCTCTGCAGTGTTGTATGGCTGGAGGAGCACCCTGTTCTGAGTCTGCCAACAGAGAGAGCCCTCTCATTGCCTTCATGCACCTAAGGCTGTGCATGGATCCCACTGCAGGACTGAGTCTCAGTATGAATGAAGACCTGCCCTTAGAGTGCTGTTTGGAGGAGATTCACTAAAGCATTGTCCAAATCGGGATGCCCACTGTATGACCACTACGTAGAGAGAAATCTTAACTGAGCCAATATGAAGGATTTGAACTATACCTACTAGCTTGATTGATTAACCCATCTTAATAGCAATGAGAGAATCACAGACAGGAAAGCAGGGACCAGTCAAAAGGATTGTCTTGTCTTTCTAATATAAGAAACGGATCTCAAACTATCTCCTCAGATTCGTGAGTTACATTTATTCTTTCCATTGGGGCTGGAATTTGTATTAGCTTGAAGAGGTCAGGCGAGTCCAGAGAAAATGCAGTCATGTGGATACTGGGCTGGGTAAGGGAGGAAGTTTCTCTTAGCCCTTACCCTCAGGGCTGTGTGTGTGATCACTGCTGTGGGGTGCACTTGACTCCTACATCACTGTGGGGTGTGCACTCAACTCCTACACTGCTATGGGGTGTGCTTGACTTCTTTCAGTCATTTTTTTTCAGCATAGAATTTATAGATTTACAGTGTCATAAATGCCAACTCTCTTACCTAGTTTGGAGCAGGGAGGGGTACCTGCACTTATTCTTAGTTGAGAATAGAAAGCAAGAAACACATTTTAAAAAGACATAGAACTTTCTAGAATTCATGAGTGTATTCAGTTCTGAAATGTCCATAGTTTATTTTGGAAGTGATGTGTGTCATTCTGAACTTATTGGTTAGTGAGGATTGGTTCCTTATTCTCTTGGCCAGAGAGCTGAATTTCAATACTGGGAGTAATTTCTGGCCTTTGTTGAAGGCTTTTGATGAAGCAGTCACTGTTCTAAGCAGTTTCTGACCTCAGTTCATCCCTGTAGAGCTTCTGCAAGGCAAGCACTGTTTCCTTCCCCAATAGCAGACTGTGAGGTTGAGTATTTCAATCCAATACTTCATGCAGGTAAAATAATCAGCTTGTTCACTCTAGCTGTAGAAATGTAAAATCTGGAGACAGAAGGCTTTGTTTACTTCTTGTTAACTGTATTAGATCTCTCTTTTTTTTGTCCTGTTTCTTTTCATCCCCCATCATCTCCCAGTCTGTCTGAGCTTCACCTATATCTTGTTCTCTTTTGTGTTATGCAACATTGGGATCTTTGAAGTGGACAGATGACTGACACCTCAGGAGTAAGAGAGAGGGAGAGAGAGTGCATCACAGCAGGATGGGTTGGGGCAGCCATTGCCCCACTCTGAAAGCAGGAATGATGGTGTGTGTGTGTGTGTGTGTGTGCGTGTGTGTGTGCCTGTGAGTATGCGTGTGTATTCATGTGCAAGTATGAGTGTGGGTGTGTGTGCACATGTGTGTATGTATGTATGTGTGTGCACATACACTAATAAAAGGCTGAGAGTATTTGATGGCAATTGCTTTCTAGTGTTGCTGGAAAGGAGAGAGGACTGGTTTCCTTCCTTCCTTTCTTTCTTCCTTTCTTTCTTTCTTTCTTTCTTTCTTCTTTTTTGGATGAATCTGAAGTTCCTCTCCCCACCTCCAGCCCCTGGGGTTACAGGCATGGGTGGCTATACTCAAGTTTTTTTGGGTTTTGTTTTTTTCCCCATGTATGTGCTGGGAATTTAAACTCAGGTCCTCAGTCTTGCACAGCAAATGCTCTTACCCACTGAGCCATCTTTCTGGGTTTTGACTGTCACACAATATCAAGCCAGCCAAAATCCCAGCCTGGATGGAGGAAGGTATCATGAAGTTCCACTCCTACCTGAGGAGCTACTGGCAATTGAAGACATCTGGGGAGGGAGAATGAATTTCCTTCAGGCATTTGGCCTCTAGTAGACAGCCCTACATCCATGCGTATAGAGCATCACTAAGAGGACTCAGTGGGTTTCCAAATTAGAAGGGAGGGAAAAGTGGTGGGAATAGGAGAGGAACTGGTAGGGATGGAATGGGGGAGAAGATTTGATCAAGACATATTATACCCATGTATAGAATTCTTTATAAAATGTATACAGAGGAAAACCACCTTAGCTCAAAAAAAAAAAAAAAAAAAAAAAAAAAAAAAAAGTGGGTACAAAATTTTAATTGAAGAACATCTCCATCTAGTGGCCATTCATGACATTACTGCTAAGTTAGCTAATTTTGGTTTCCGTTTTTTTCACTCTAACCATTCTAAAACATGCTACCTTCGAGCTCCATGATCCCTCTGTTCAGCTCTGTCACTTGAGGTCGGTGTGGATGACACTTCAGGGACTCTTGAGGCTTTCCGTGGATGTCTGAGTGGCAACAGACCTGCTGATATCTTCAGGGGTGATAGCTAATAAGTTAACTCCACTGATTCCCGTGTTCACCAGGTGCCTCTTGTAAGCAACAGTGTTAGGTGAAGTACTATTCTTGAGTGGTGCCTTAGCCATTAAAAGCACTTGCTGCTCTTGCTAAGGACACAAATTTGGCTCATAATCGCCCGAAACTCCAGCTGCAGGGACCCAACACCCTCTTGTGGCTCCCTAGAGAATTATACTCTCCCAGACAATTTTTAGAAAAATGTGTAATTATTACTGGGAGGTTTCATCTTCAATAAAAATTCTCATATTATTTAGTAAAATTATGTGAGATTAAAAAATTACATGTGGAGTGGCGGGGGTGGGGTGGGAGGGAAGGGTGGTGGGGGAGAGAGGGAAAAAGGTAGGAAGGGGGGAGGGAGGAAGAGAGGAATAAAAAACTATCCACTTTTTTTCCAAGACAGGATCTCATTACATAGCACCTATCGTCCTGGAATCGTCCTGGAACTCACTATGTGGACTAGGCTGCCCTTGAACTCATAGAGACCCATCCACCTTTGCCTTCTGAGTGCTATGACTAAATGCATGTGCCGCCATGCCTGGTTGGATCTTTTTAAGGCTGAAATTCAGCTTATGTTTGCAGTGGCAGTACTGGGAGAAACAAATTATTACATGTCAAGACAAAACCAATCGCATTTAGCCCATTTTTTTTCTTTAACAGATTATAAAGACTGGACAGGATTTAGGCCATGAATTGGATTGACATTTCTTCACAAATTTGTGAAGTCCTGAGAAAAACCATTATCATTCATTCAGTGTGACTGACTCATCTGAAGATGAACACCAATGTTCCAGTTTGCACTTTTTTTGCTGATAGAACACCGATCAAAAGAAACTTGGGGAGAAAGGGTTTATTTTAGCTTATAGCTTACAGTCTATCATTGAGGGAAGTCAGGGCAGAAATTCAAGGCAGGATCCCAAGGGCAGGAACTGAAGAAGATCGCTGGAGGGATGCTGCTTGCTCCTCATGGCTGACTCAGCCTGATTTCTTATTCCATCCAGGACCACCACCCTCAGTGAGCCGGGTCTTCTCATATTAACCATCAATCTAGAAAACACCCCAAAGACTTGTTCACAGGTCAGCCTGACAGATGCAAGTCCTCAGCTGAGGCATCCTCTTCCCTGATGACTATAGTTTGTGT